ACCAACCATAGATTTTATGCTGCCTCTCTGTGCTCTTCCTTTGTGGCCTGGCTTTCTTTCCACTTCCCACATATGTCCTTTTTCATTTGCAGATCATTTTTAATCTGTTTGTGAACCTACATTGACATATTTTGTTGTCTTCCACCATTTTATTCTTGGAATTATTTGTAACTGTGCCTTTAGCATTTCCTTTTTAAAAAATCCACACCCCTATTGGACTCCTCATTAGGGTCACTTGCCATGGGGCCTTCCTTATGATTTTTCTGAGTATATTAAAACTGGCTTTCCTAAAAATCTAGGATATGTATTCTGCTACATTCAGTCTTTGCTTCCATCAGGATCAAGAATCCAAGTATGGCATGCCATCGTCCTTCTGACCACAACTTTATCCACTAGGTCATCCCCGGTGGTTAGAAGAAATTTCAAGGATAGCCAATTCTCTAGTTCCATCTTCCACTTTCTGTAGGTGTAAGTTACCAACAAGACAAGTCAAGAATTCCTTAAGGGGATGGCATTTGGCAGAATGGTATGCTCAAACTACATATCGCTTCCTTGAAACATTGGCAATTTGGTTTTCAAAAGTTTCATCTTCACCTTTTCCTTGACTCTGACCACCATGGCGCTTTATTTATTTAATCCAGATGCTGTCACTGTCCTTTCTCTATTTCTATAGAGATTTTTTTCCAACGAATGGCTTGACTGTGCCTCCTTTTCGTTTCCTTCAGTTCTTCAACAACTTACCCTTCAATTGCAGTTATGGGAGCATTCCTACCAATTTTCAGTTAAACCTATCATGCCCTCTTGTATTAAAGATTCAAATTTATGCAGTTTTTCCCATAGACAGCCAGGGTGATATGGTGTTTATAATATTGTCCTGGGTACCAGGGAAATCTAAGTACTCATCCCCACTTGGCCGTGAAGCTCTTTGGGTAATTTTAGGCCAGGTACTTGCTCTCAGCCCAACCTACCTCACAGGGTTGCTATGAAGATTAAATGGAATTGTGACTGGCCCAAAATTTGAGGTGAGAGATCTGTCTTACAAATGCATTTTACTAGCCCATTTATTTGAATTAGTACCACTGTGCTTGGTCCTGTTGATGGAATGGCAAACATGAGAGCTATAACTTCTCACAAGATGAAAACTGAAGTGCACAAAAGATTCAATTGGGAAACATTTCTTGAAATTCTATTGCAAGAGGAGCATTTAGCAAACGGATTATGCCATACATCATAAATTTGTATTTTTACAGATTTTACCCCACCTCTCCTTGTTTGCTATCACACATACTGCACTCTACTCAATTTACTATCCCTTAACATCCCATGGTAACCACAACAATTGTTTACATGGCAACGCAATAGGAAAATATTTAATATATTTTTAACTACACTTTAATGGAATTTAGCAGCTGGATATATGACTGAGAGCCAGCAACCCATGACTCAGATAGCAAGCTTTTTTCTCTCAGCCATCAGAACTTTCTTATGGGGCACAAATTGGGAACAACTGGCATGTGGAGTTCCTTGGAGTATGACAATATTCTTTGCACACTGTAGCAAGCTATGTTATGCATTAGGAACGGAGACCAATTTCCATAAAGGCTGTATTACAAAACTGTACAGGTCCGTATCTTGCAGTACATTTATGACCCAGTGTCTCATACTACAGTCTTAGTGGTTTATCAGCATTCAGCACACAATAACCTAACAAGCAATTTCCTCTGCTAGTTACCTGGAAGTTGCAGGACAATATTAAGTTCACTTTCCACTTCTATATAAGGAATTTGAACATCTTTTCCAAGGACATATAAAATAAGGGACCAATTCATTATTGCACACTCAGACTAAATGCATATACACAAAACTAAAAACAGACATGTTGTTGAAGGCTGGTGATTAGGTCTCCTGATGAAGAGTTCTTTTATTTTTAAAGCAGCTTTCCTTTTCAAAACAGTTTGAGTGAGAGTCGAATGTTGACTAGAGCAGCACCACTAGAGAAAGGAGTCTTTAATCCAGGTGTGGGCAACTTGTGTTTTTCCAGATGCTGTGGCCTAAAGCTCTCATCATCCCTCACCATTGGCAATATTGACTGGAGCTGATAGGCACTGTAAATCAAAACATCTGAAGGGATGTAAATGGCCCACCCCTGCTTTCATCCAATGGCCATGCTGGCTGGGACTGCAATCCAGCACATCTGGAATACGGTTGTGGAAGGTTGCTTTAATTCTTTTCCCCTGGATTTTCCCAGATCTAAATTTCCATCACTACTGAAGCTACTATTTGCAATGCTGAGCAAAAATGGCCAGCATGATGCAAGTACTTGAAAGTTTTCCAGTGTGCAGCCAATACTCAACGTCTGTAGGAAACTTTAATCAGGGAAACAATGCAGGGTGAAATGGTTAGTGATAATATTAAGCTACTGCTCCATTCAAAACTGGAACCTACTGCACTGCTTTAAAGTTTCAAGCATACACAAAGTGGCACATGGCTAGGCAGGATTTACATTATTTAATTAATGTATATACTGTCTTTTAGGGGAGAAACCACAAAAATGCAACTTACAAGCCCTAATAAGTAATATATTCAGACAATTAAAAACATGACATTAAAAATGGAAATATTTTTAACACTGAAATAGTAACCCAGTAAAAAGCATCAGGATAAAAATGCTTTTCAAGCCTATGCGAAAAAAATCAACAGGAGGTAATACAAACCCCCCAGGGGAAAATTCACAACTAAGAACTCACTGAAGAAAAGACCCTAGCACGTACCAACTTGATGATTCACCAAAAAATACAAAAGTATAAGAGGCATATTAGCAGGTAAATATACTATTAAGAAGCTGTTCTGTAGCATTCCTGCTAATTATGATCTCAGCTAAAGGTAGTGCTGAAACAAAAGCTCAGCAAAGCTCACCTAAATGCCCAAGGCTCTAGACCAGATCAATAAAGAGGTTGCTCTGCTTGCTCTCTCTCTCTGTGTCAAGTGAAAACCATTTTTATTTTCCAGGTATTTCAATAGATAAGAGTTGTTTAATACTATTTTTATTATTATTGCTCATATGTCATGTATCAGTCTTATTATAGTTACTGTGCGTTGTTGATCTCATTGTATTGGTTTTATTGTTTGTTTTATTTAAATATGACTATTTTACTGGTTGTTTATATGTCTTTTAAATTTGTAAACCACCCAGACAGCCTATGGTCTGATAACAGAAGTACAATAAATAATAATAATTTTCACTCATAACCTTTCTGTCTTTTCCCACCACTTCTTCCAGATTCTTTATACTGCAGAAAATCTATTAAAGGAAAAAAGGCAGCACAATCCCTTTGGATTGCTAATGCTTTTGTTGTTTAGTCGTTAAGTCATGCCCAACCTGGTGCAACCCCATGGACAACATTCCTCCAGGCTCTCCTGTCCTCCACCATCCCTTGGAGTCCACTTGAGCTCATTCCGACTGCCTCAGTGGCTCCATCTAGCCACCTCATCCTCTGCCGACCCCTTCTCCTTTTGCCATCAATTGTTCCAGCATCAGGGTCTTCTCCAGTGAGTTGTTCCTTCTCCTTAGGTGGCCAAAGTGTTTGAGTGTCATCTTCACTATCTGGCCTTCTAAAGAGCAGTCAGGGTTGATTGCCAATGCTGGGACTCCTTCATTTGGACAAAACATTACTTACAAAAACAAATGTGCATAGCACAAGCTAGTGAGACCAACTTTCCAGGGGTGTTTTCAGAGAAGGAAGTTATGCTGCTATCCTGTCTCATTCATGGACATTTATGTATGGGGGCGGGCTATTGTCATAGTCTTTCACTTCTGACTGCCTTATGTTTTCGTATCATTTCTATCTTTTCCCCTAACACAGAGGTTGTTTCCAGATAGAGGACTCTAAATACTAAAGAGCAGAAGGCACTGTGCAACTAATATATTTTCCTTCTTAATGGATTTTCCATGGTAAGAAAAAGATTACACAAATAGATAATACACACGGACACACATATTGCTTGCATATAAAAACCTTGCCTAGAAGGACCAGGAACATCCATTAAGGCAGACAAAGGACTTCAAATAGCTAGCAGTTCTAGCCTTTTTCTGGTAGCAGCTCACATGTCATTCACAAATGAAGCACATTGTGTAGGCAATCAGAAAGCATTTTATAAAACATCCAGCCATTTTACAGATAGAAAACAAGCAGGCAGTGGATAGTCTGAAAGACAGTAGTCAAAGAAAACACAAGAAATTGCTCAAAATCTCTGCACAAAGTATCACCCAAGAATGTGAGCAAACTATTCCATAAAAATAAATACATGCACACACCACCATCTCTGTCATTGAATGCTTTTTTTCTCAATAGTGAGAAACACACACATGACAAGCCAAAACAGTCATTATTTTAAACGCATGACTAATTATCAAATACTCTACCCACTGAGGTCAGCCTAGGGTCAACATTTGTCATTTTTGTTCAGGGTCAGGTTATAACAGTCCTCTGCTCCCAAGAATTTGGCAGTATATAATGAAGCACTTGTGTCAGGGTTTTTTTTCCAGGTCTATTTTTAACTGTTTAAAATTGTGCATGCTAACAACTTCATATCCTTTTTAATTAACGAGTATTTGCAGCTTGCAATTTGCATGAACTGCCCAGGATGCTTAGGTTAGTGGGTGGTATAAAATAAAATTCATACAATAGTTATAATTATTATTTTATTATGTTTACTCGAGCACTGTACAGTCTCTGATCTGATCTTTTAAAAAATACTCTTATGTCATCTCCCAGCCCTGATGAGGGCAGAGGACCAGCAGGCAATTCGCGGCGCGTCCCTCCAGGAGCGTAGTGACGAGTATTTCAATTTCACCGCTTCGCTAGCGCGCATGCGCGCTTGATATAGCGCGCGCGCCTGCACATCCGCACATTTAGAGCAACACAAACCTCCCGTTTCCAGGACTTTCTCGTTCCAGTGCGCATGCGCCTGCAGAGCACGCATGCGCGAAATGAAATTACTCTGATCAGGTTTTTTAAAATTTATATACATATAGAGCCGCGAAGAGCTATCGGGACGGTGGGGACGCTCGAAAAACTAGATGCGTCGGTAGTTTCTCCACCCTCAGCTGGTAGAGTTGAAAGGTAAGTGCATATACACCTTACGTACACAGCCCCCCTCACCTGCTCTTGACTCGGGGAGGTAGCAGGTAGGGATGCTCGCAGTTGCGTTGTGAACGGTAGCTTGGTGCATACAGACGTGCACGGTGCGTGAGGACTCTTCTTACCTGAACCTGATTTGAGGTGTGAACTTCAGTAAGACCCCAACAGGAACGGCAAAATACCGAACCTGTCTTTTGCATACACGGACACACCTGGTGCTGTTTTCAGAAGCTATGCTGGACAAGGTTTGATGGTCCATTAGCCTTTTACTGTTTCCCTGTTTAGGGCTGCTGGGCCGTGCACTAGGCAGATACAGCCTGTGAAGTCGTGGACATACTGTGAAGGAAAAGATTACAGTCCTATTTGCCTTGCCTTGCCTTTCCACCACTGGGTGGTAACCCAGGTGTAATAGCCCTTAGAAAGCCTGGGGTAGTTAACCCCACAACATGAGTCCATATTACAGGGAAGACTATAATATAGCTTCCTTATTAAGGACACTGAGATGTTTTCTGGTCCTGTGAACAAGTCTGATAAGTTATGCACCTGAGACATTTCAACAGATGACTAAAGTTAACTGCAAAACAGATAAGTTAGTGTGTGTTTTGATGCAATTTTTCTGTAGAATTTACTGAGTCAAGGTTCCAGCTCAAGTTCTGTAGTTTATCTTTCTCTGGGGAAGCTATAATAGGGCCTCAGCTGGTATGGACACAGCTGTGTTCTGCTCCCACTTTTGTTCAGATGCTGATGAGGGGGAATGTTACTTCCTTTGAAGTAACTTTCAAAGGAAGTTCTGGAGTTGCAAGATCTGTTTTGGGGTTCATGTCTAGACAGAGTGGTTCTTAAAGCACCCTATGCATAATAGATTGAAACAGAGCTTGATTTTAGCTATTGCTTGGGTTCCCACAGCCCTGTGAGAGATGAAATAATTAAAAAATCATTTTCTTATCATCTAATAGCAGAACCCATTTCCACAGACACTTATTCCTGAAATTAAGCAGTGGACTTCCAGCAGGTGTTCCTACTAGAAAACAAGTACAAAAATGATACTTGCTTATGTTTTGCTGAATTGTTTTACAAATAAGTGAAGATACTTGCAAAGCTAGGGGGGCAATTAAGTTACAAGAGATGAACACACTATTAGAAAAAAACCTCACTCTTTTATTGCTTATTTGATCACTTAGGAAAACCTAAAACATGCATGTGACACTTATTGAACTGTGGCCATGTTGACAACTTGTTAAATACTTAAGTTTTGGATATTTTTGCCTTGTTGTCTGTGATGTTTTTGTGAATTATCAGCTTTCTGAGTTGTATCCCCTTTTCATTAAGCTGTCTTCATGGGCCCAGATATGATATGGAATAAAAGGAAGAGTTGTGTTTTACCTTATATGTAGGGGGGAAAGAAAAGAAAAGCTGGGGTTTATGATCTGATGTTTATACTAAGGAATAAAGAACTCTACCACAAAGTATTCTTTATAACATAAAACTATTCTTTTATGGTAGGACTATCACTTAGTGCTGCTGCTGCTTAAGGCTAATGCTTTCTTCTGCACCCTGGGAATATTTCCAAACCAGTCCTTTTATTGTGCAATCAACCTTTCTTATTCATGACATTTTACTGGTAGTCCCAATGACATTGTATTCCACTTACAACCTTAATATGTTTTCCTGTCACTTCTTCCACAAAAAATCAATTACAGAGGAAAAACAGAATAGAATTATAGAATAGTATAGTTGGAAGGGGTCATGAAGCCATCAAGTCCAACCCCCTGCTGTTGCAGGACACTAATTTACACCATCCCACTCAGATGACTGTCCAGTTTCTTCTTGAATGTCTCCAGTGTGGGAGCACCCACCACTTCTCTAGGCAGTTTGTCCACTGCTGTATTGTTCTGACAGTGAGGAAGTTTTTCATGATGCCCCGCCTGAATCTGGATTGTTGCAACTTGATTATTCTGTGTCCTACACTCTGGTATCAGTGAGAAAAGATCTTGACCTTCCTCTTTGTGACAGTCTTTGAGGTACTTATAGAAGGTATCATGTGTCCCCCCCCCCCCCGTCTTCTTTTCTCAAGGCTGAACATGCCCAGTTCTCTCAGTCTGACCTCATAAGGCAGTTTCCAAACCCCAGATCATTTTTGTTGTGCTCCTCTGGGTCCTTTCTAATTTTTCTGCATCTTTTTAAAATCTTGGTGCCCAGAACAGGACACAGCATTCCAGATGAGGCCTGACTAGTGAGGAGTATAGGGGAACCACTACTTTAATGATTTGGAAGTAATACCTCTATTAATGCATCCCAAAATAACATTTGCTGTTTTGGCAGCTGCATCGCATTGTTGGCTCATATTTAGCCTGTTGTCCACAATAGCTGCACAAGGTATTTTGATTGGTAACACTAGGAACTCTCTATCTGGAAGCATCCTGGATTGTATTATTAATTTATTTTTATATCACCCAATCATATTTCCATCTTCTAGGGTATAGCAGGAATGTTTTAGTGACTAACAGGGCATTCTTACACATCTGCTTAGAAGTAAGACTCATTAAGTTCAATGGGTCTTGTTTCCCAGTAAGTGAGTATTGGATTTCAATCTAGCAAACTTCTCAACATGCTAATGTTTTTTATTTTTATTCTTATAATTGTACTAGGGTAAATATAATAACAGAAGAGCTTTGGTTATTGGGCAGTCTAAAAACAAACTAAATAAACAAGATTTAAGAAAGCTTTATTAAAGGTAAGAGTTGACATAACACTACTGCAAGTTTTCCCATGGAACCTGGCTGCAGATGTGAGGTTCCTCTACCAGCATTCCTGACCTGTTGGCCTCCAGATGTCTTGAATTTTGACCCCACATGCTCTAGCCAGCAAAACCAATGGACAGGAATTCTGGGGATTATAGTCCAAAGCATCTGTAGAGCACCAGATTGGGAAAAGTTGTGCAATTGGATTTAGAAAAGGGTATGTAATGCTCTTTCTATAGTCAAAGCAGATGCCTTAAGTCTTAGACTGATTGGAAGTTAAGAATGCAATCCTATGCAAATTTAGACATGAAAACGCCCTACAACTTCCAGTAGTCTCCTGCCAGCATGGACTGTCTGGGAATTCTGAGAAATGTAGGATTTTTTTTTTGTGTGTGTCTAAATTTGCATAGAATATGACTTAAGACAATAATGTCATTTCTGAGACCATCTTCAGGGATTTCTTGGCTTATTCTCGTAAACATTGTACACTGTGACCTATTCAGTATTTGCCAGAGCTTTACTTTCCTTGGTCAGGTTGATTCTCATAACTGTACCCATTTCATCATAATAAAAATTAAGTTAAAATATGAAATGTTAGCAAAAAGTGACCTATGTAGACACCAGTTCAAATCCCTGCAAAAGTACATATTCTTCATTAAATACGTGTAAATGTTTTAAAAAATGGTTTGTTCATCCTGCTGTAAGCAGACATCTTTTTGCTTCACAGCCTAATATTTAGTTTTAATACTAGCAAAATCTTATAGTAATTCAATTATTTCTTTTGTCCTGCGTATTTTATATTTTTCCATCAGTATTTCATTGTGACATGGTTTCTTAACTGATATTTTCTTAAATAGAAATGTTGTATTTCAGGAAATAAAATGGAAAATAATTGATTGGATTGAGAACGGCAACCATTCTGCTGAAGCAAAGAAGTAAACCAAGAACAAGAAAATGCCAGCTATAAAGGTTTTGCAACCTGTACTAAAAATGAAAGTGGATGAGCTCTTTCTGTTCTGGTTGAGTGAAACTGCAACTCAGGTGATGCTCAAGGACTATTTAAGAAACATAACCAATGAGGAGAAGATAGAATGTGGTAGTGGTGATGCTAGCAGCAATGAACAGATTACTCAGACAAACTGTATCTCCAAGCAAAGCATGCTAGGCAATTTGATGTCTCCTTTGACTCCTAGCAGCCCTCCCCATCTCTCCACTGCTCTACCTCTTGGGAATCCAAGTAGCCCAAGAGGTTTTTCTAATATCCGAGGACTACGTAGATCTTCAAGCAGCAGAGGTGTAAGTAGTCAGTTATTTTGCTTTGTGCACAACTGTAAAATGCTGTCAAATTAAGTTTCATTTGCTAGGAACAAAACCTAATCCCCAGCCCTTGATGTACACTGTAGCTAAAATAAATAAAATTTAAAGTGGCCTGTAGATGTCAATATATGCAGGAAAAGAATCTGGCCTGCTTCAAATAATTAATTTTCATTTAATACAAAACTACATGTGAGTAACAAATTTCCATGGGAGATTCTAATCAGTTGCTTTTCCCCTTGATGGTAGTGCTAAGAGGAAATCCATTGAAAAAACTGCCTCACAGAGGAAATACCAACTGGCACAAGAGTTTGGGAGTACCATAATTCATTTTGTACTTTCTGTGGTAATACTACTATTCCAACACACTCATCATGTATGTTTTCTACAGTAAATGTATTCTAACATTAAATACACAATATCCAGTTGTTTGCTTTGGCAAACAATTGAAATAACTAAATGTTCAATTCTATAACTTTCTATACAAGCATTTAATGCTTAGGTTTTTTATATTGCATTTAATTTCATTCTATGAATTGTTGTTAACTACCCAGAGAGCTTTGACTATTGGGCAGTATAGAAATAAATAAATAAATTGTGGTGTACCAGCAAAGAAGGAAAACTTAGTGTAACATTGGATATTATCCATACCTTCCATTTCTTATACAAGCACCATTTAGTGCACTCACACAGACGGCTGACATCAATGAATTTTATTGTTAACACCATGATATTTTACTAGCCTTCTCTTCAGGCCTATTCATCTTCAACAGACTTACTTAGTTGAACTTAGTTGAGCAGGGAACCTAACAGCTGTGATGATGCTCAGAATATTATGAAGCTGATACCATTTCCTCAGTTCCTTCAAATATGAGCTAATTATAGTCTTTTTTTTTTTAAATCCGTCAGTACTAGTTTCCTTGCATGGTGCCCCTGCATCAGCTGTTAGTCCTCTCTCTCCCTGGTGAATAGCATACCAGACATCATCGATACTATAGAATCTCTGACATAGCTTTATTAATGACCTCTGTTTTAACAAAAGTGCTCTGCCTTCGGGCTTCCTCAGTTCACCAAGGACTTTAAATAGTACAGAATATTTTTTAAAACTACCCAGAATTTTATCTGTCTTTCGATGGTTATTCTTGCCAACTGGACTAAGCATATTCTCAAGATGATATACTGAGAAATGTTCTTCTGAATAGCCTTTGGAGTAAAATATATACTGGCTTATTGTCATAGCTTTGACGCTTGACTTGTAAGGTGATCAGCAATCGGCATTGTAAGTTAAAACTGTCATTCTGCTGTCCAGGCAGCCAAACCTGCCATTGTTCATTTCACATTCTAACGTGCTATATCCTATTTGGCTCTGAAGAGCAATAATTTGGAACTATATGACATAGCTTTGCCCACCCACTAGAAACTTACCTTAAAATGTTTTGCATCCCTTCTAGAAATGGATGGCTTGGAAGTATAGTGAGTCACTTGGAATGGAGATGGCTAGTACCAAGAAGGTCCCTCTGTTTGTGCTTTCAGTTCATATGATACGTAGTGCTGGCAAGTTGCTTGAATATACAGCTGAAGTACACACAAGAAATTTTTACTAATGAACTCAACAATCTTTTAACAAAGTAAGCCTCATGCTCATCTGACTTGTTACGGATATAAACATGTTGCAAAGGTTATGCACACAACTAATGTACTATTGTTGCTGGTGGACGACTGTGCATGATAGCAATCATAAAATGTGGCTTTAGTGGTTAGGGACTAGCACGTGCAACTTTTTTAAAGCCTCCTACTAAATGCTTCCTTTATGTTGCTGCTTTAATGCTGAAAAAACCATGTAACTTGCAGTAAACTAGTAGTAATATTAAAATGCATAAATACTATATTCATGTTCTACTAAAAATGTTTGTGATGTTGAAGGATCAAGCTATATGTGCAACATAGTCCTTGCTAGAATTGGGGCAAAGAAGAGAGCGGTTATAGGCAAGGTGGAGCAAGGGACCTCTAATTGACTGTGGTATAAGGCAAACTGGGCAGAAACATGTCAGAAGTTTTAGTAGAATATTATTTATTTTATTTATTTATTTATTAAAACATTTTTATGCCGCCCCATTCGCCGAAGCCTCGGGGCGGCTCACATCATTAAGTTAAAATAATTATAATATAAATTAAAAATATAAATATTAAATTAAAATACAACAAAACAGTATAAAATAAGCCGCCCTGGCCAGATAAAACCAATAATGTTAACAATTAAAATGATGCTTGAATAAAAAGGTCTTCGCCTGGCGCCGAAAAACAAATAACGACGGCGCCAGGCGGACCTCTCTGGGGAGCGCGTTCCATAACTTAGGTGCCACCGCAGAGAAAGCCCTCCTTCGAGTACCCACCCTCCTAATTTCTTTCATGGAGGGTTCCTGGAGAAGGGCCTCCCCCGCCGATCTCAAGGGGCGGCTGGGCATATATGGATGCAAGCGCTCCTTCAGGTAACCAGGACCCAAGCCGTTTAGGGCTTTATAGGTCATCACCAACACCTTGAATTGGGCCCGGACTTCAATGGAAAGCCAGTGAAGCTGACGGAGAACTGGAGTCATGTGAACACAACGCCCAGTCCCCATCAGCAGCCTGGCAGCTCTGTTTTGAACCAGTTGAAATATTATTGCTACATTGATATCATGCCTTCTTTCTCCCTGCAAAGGATTCAAGATGGCATACATACCATCTTTCCTTCCATTTTATCCTCACTACTACAACAACAACAACAAGGTAGGCTAAGCTGAGAATTAGTAACTGGCACAAAATTATCTATCAAGCTTCATGGTCAAGTGGGGACTCCAGCACTCTGAAACTGAATCCTGTGCGTGTGGCATGCTAGACATAATATTAAAGGATGAATACAGACAGCAAGTTTACCATTTGATTGATGGAATTGGTTCATCTGATATTTAGTGGCCATCTCCTTCTACCCTCAATTCTCCCTACCATTATTACCTTTTCCAGTGAACCAACTCTACTAAAAACCAGATAAGTGTGTTTTTCAGATATTGGGTTTGGTCCAAGCATTTCCTTGAATAATCAGTGTATGTAACTGCAGTTCTGATTTTCTACCCATGTCCCAGCTGTGGCCATTTCTGAGGGGGTCTGGTAAGGGGCAGCAATAGAGAAGAGGAATCAGGAAAGTCCCATTGTATGCTCAGAACTCTGCCTGTGATGGTTAGGCATTTGTAACCATGTAATATAATGAATTCGTAGGTGATTATAATGTTTTGTAGAGTACACTTAACCCACCAAAATACCATCATCTGTTAATTCTTTTGATCTTTGGATGGTCCTTCTCATCTTGAATTGAGGCATATTATGTATATTATGCTGTTGCTCAAAGCAGAGACACCTTGCAAGGAAGAAAGGCTATCAACTTAGATATAAATTAGAGGAGGCCATCTTCAGTTATTTCTGCACTAGACTGTGGTCTAAGTGCAACACGTCTGTGTTACTACTTAAATTTATTTCCTTGCTGCTTATCTAGCTCCATTATAACCTTGGTGTCATCTAGCAAAAAAAACTGTCCAGTTATGGGCCACATATGTTCAGTTATACTTAGCCTACTCTGTGTGCATGCATGTGTGCGTCTCACAACTTTGAAAATGAATTTAGTTTCCCTACAAGTGAAAGTTTACCAAACTTGTTGATCATTTTGTATAGGTCAGAAAGGGCCAGATAAAATTAATTTTGGGTGCAGAACTGGTTTTAAATAGGCAGTTTTGGATAGGTATCTATTAGTATCTCTATATTCTGTAATAAGTACTTTTCTTTACCAGTCTTCGGCAATCTTGGTGCATTAAGTTTATTGCAGCAAATATACAGTATACAGTGGTTTTTAAGAAGCTGACTTTGCAACTCAGGCTTTCTTTTGGTAAATTGTAGGAATTTTTGTAGAAGAGATAGAATAGAACACACAAGAAACTGTTCTGAAGGTATAATTAAAGTGATATGATGGCCTTGAGAATTTGAAAGCCCAAGCTAAAATAATGTTTTTCATGGCAACCCTGGACAAGCCTACTCAGAAGTAAGGCCCACTGAGTTTATTGGAGTTGCTGCCAGGTAAATTACTTCTGGAGATGGACTAGGCAGTTATTCTTGGCACACTTTTCAAGGTCAGAATTGCCCAGCTCTTCAGATGAGGATGATGACACCTGGGAAATGGATAGTATGGGAATTGAAAGAGCACAAGTGAGTGCAGTTGTCCCAAGATTGTGGCCCTCAGGTGCTCAGACAGACCATTGCAACAGATGGTGCTTGGAAGAGTAGGAAGGGGACGGAGGAGAGGAGGAAGATGAGCCATTGTCCCTGACTCCATGACATGGCATTGGGACAGCAGAGCTACCCAGAGGGCCTGCATAGATCTAGGAGGTTAGCTGTTCTCCAGAGAAACCCACTCAGAAGGGTGGAGACATCTGTTACCAAGAAGGAGGGTTTTCAGAAGTACCTTTTTGTTTGGGTTCAGTAAATCACTATGTTTATGATTAGAGACTAGTCTTCTAGTGGCTGTAATTTAGTTGTTGTAAAATGGCAATAAAGAGCTCTTTCATAAAGAGAGTGCCTGCATTTGTACACTTTGTACACAGTTCAGTACACTTGAACTGAATTAAGGTAAAACCAGCTCTGAATAATGCTGTGTTAGGGTGTTACCCAGTTAATACAGTCAATCCCCACTCCACCTGCTGTCCACTGTGTTCTCCCCAGATCTGCCCCAGGTTTCTGGGAACCCTCTGAAGCAGATTTTTGAAGGACACAGGAGAGAGAATTTTACCACACAAGTGATCTTCTGCTAACTCACTATTGGATTCCAACCTGAATAAATGTTGCTTATATTAAGGTGGTTCCTCTGTTTTTGGAATCTTTACATTTCAGTGTGCAAATAATTTGTTGTAATATTTAGTTAAAAAGTGAGACAATCTGTCAGTTATGATCATAAGCAA